ATAAGCATAGCCTTCAGATTTATGGAATCAGGAGAGTTGTGCCAAGTTCTTCTGTCTTAAGGAATGAAGAGATCATGAGGAGAGACAGTACATGAGGCATGTATAGAGAGGAACTTCCTTTTTCACATTTTCACAGACATAAAAATGGGGTTTCCATGCTCTTTGAAGAACCCAGAAGAATTCAATTAGTTTCCTCCCATGGGAGAAGAATCATAAGCGTGAATGGATACTGTTCAACATTGTTTGATGGAGTAGCTTACATTTTAATGATCAGTGTCCTTATGTGATCTTCCCCCAGCTTTCCTTGAATCATGATGTCACCAAGACCATGACACCCACATCCCTACTGTGATGGCTGGGACAGTGTCTAGTTTGTCCCAATGTTGCTCTCAAAGCCAGACTTGGTGGGGAGTATTATGAAATGTCAGGCCCGGAGTCAGTACTTCAATAAAACTGATTTATTGATTCCTTTCCAACATCTATGTCCCAACCTAATCATTATCCAGTGTAAAAGGTGTGTTATAAATAGCCATGATGCCCTAAACATTTGTCAGGGAAAATAAAGGCAAAGCCTTTACAACGTTCAGGGATCACTCAGGATACACCACTTTGCCCCAAATCTCACTTCAGCACCTCTACTATTGAGTAGCTTGGGATAGTGTTGTCGATCTGGAAAAAAATACTAATTATATGAGGTCATACTCAAACCTCTTGTTTTGCACTGGGTAGCAATAATCTCATCAGCGAAATTAGGGGATTGGTTAACTGCTATCAAACTTCTCTCCCCTCTTTCCAATCACTGATTCTAGGGTCTGGACGGACTTTCTTGCCAACAGCACATGTAACTGTGAGTTGAATTTCATGTGGTGATGTCAGGGGGAGAGATAAAGAATGAATGGCAGCTCTTCTTTTGCACAGCAGGGTCTGGCTCTGTGCCTTTTCAGCCTCTATAGCCTTCTCTTCTGGCAAGGGCTTCAGCTCTGTGAGCCAAGACAGGGTAAAGGAAAACAAACAAGCAAAGGGACACCTGCAGTGACCAAGGAAGCAACTGCAAGGATTAGTTAGAACTGTTCTTGGGACAAGGACCTGTGGACCTAAACCAGCTGGGTCCAAAGTCCTTCTTTGTGTCTTTCTATTTACAGACACTGTGCAACGTTCTTATCTCTTTGAATCTCAGTTATTATGTATAAAATGAGGATTAAAATAGTATTTTATTTAGATCATAGGGTAGCTGTGAGGTTTGATGTGCACAGAACCCTACCTAGCAGACAATACACATTCTTTCTAAGTTACTGTCATTACTTTCAATCCTTTGATACAAAGAATAATCTTCTGCTAAATGAGAAAGACATAATCACTAGGCAAGAGAAAAGAAAGGTGTCTTGGATGATGTTTTTGTTCTTCAAAGACAAATACACATTCTGAAGGATGTTATTCAGAGTAAATTGTTGAAAAATACAATTTGAACAATTGGGTTCAAGCAAGCAGTTGTCAACATAGTTATCTGTTCTTCAAATTTAAAACTCTCTATCACAAAGACACCCTAATTACCAGCAGGATGCTTGATGCCTATATGCTGGATACTTTACGACTGATAGTTAAAGTGCTGGCCAGATCGTAAAATACTAGTCTCTCCCAACACACTCTAGAATAAATGAAGTGTAGTAAGGCTTAATATTGATGCTCCTTGGCACAATATTATTACTAAGACTTTGAAATTAATGGATGGACTTTATGACTATCATAGAGAATGACTGTTTTTCTATTCGCTATGCATTTACCATTAATGGGAGGGTGAAACACCTTATTACATGTAGGAATTTATTTTCTCTATTTTCTCACTTCACCCAAGTGGATGGAATGGAGTTTGTGATCTGTAGTCGTTCATTTCACTCTAACGTGTAGAAACATACAACAGGGGTTGGCCAGCAGTAGTCTCTATTCTCTACGGAAAGAAATTGTCCAAGGTATGAATATATGACAAATTGGATCAATATGTAGGGTTCTTTGGGGTTTACTAGCATACACAGATTAGTCAATACATGGAAAGTCAGCTATGAGAGTGAACTCATCCTGGAATGATCCGAGATAAAAGATGAAGGAGAAAATACAGACAGTTCTTATCCTAGTTCCCAGAGGCTTCTGACCCTCCCTCAATGGATATGTCAGCTATGATATTTCTTTAATAGGTTTAAGTAGTGTAAATTGACTTTATGATACTTGTATAATATAGACTTTGTCCATTCATTCATTCACCCACTATCCATACTTTCATTCAGTGACCATTCATACATCCTCTATCCATCTATTTACCTATTGGTTCATTAATTTATCCATCTTCTATCCACCCACTCATCCCTCCACCTATTTTCTATCTACCCACTTTCAGTGTGTGTGTACACAAAGTTGACCAGGTTTTCAGGTTATGTTTTGGTGACTCAGAGGTATCCAGTCTACCAGAAAAAGTAGTTAAGAAACAAGTATATTAGGTAATCATCTGTACTGTGAAGGACACTGAAGCAGAATCAGAGGAAAAGACTCTGATAGAGTGAGAGTGAAGAGTCAAAGGACATCAGGCAGAATCCCAAGAGAAACTGACAAGAGAATCACATGAAGTCATATGAGAGGAGTTCTTGGACGATGGAGACTGCTCTAATACCAGATCATGTGTCCGCTGGGTTAACTGAGCTCCTTTGTATCCATTAACACCGAGGGAGGGCATTAACGACCTATGCTTTAGGGAAACTCCTTCTTAACAGGGTGGAAGGAGGATGCAACCCTACTCTGGCTATTTCTGTGTTGATGGCATTGCAAGATGTGTGAGCACTTCAGATCAACTCCTTGAAAGTGACATGGAGATAAAATAGATTACTATTTATCCACTCATCAAATATTTATGGGGTACATTTATATTTCAGGCATAGACTTAGCTTCAATACTGATGTGTGTGTGTGTAATATAATCTATATATGCATACTTATATGCTTTATGATGAAAGCTCTGAATCCCAACCAAGGTCATCACAACGATGTATTCAAACCAGATGCGAAGAGATGGGAGGAGCCAACTGTTTCCAATTTTTTAAGAGTTGTGCAGTACGGCCTGCTAAGTGTTCAGCTATTGGTGAACCTATCACGTGAGCTGTCTCTTTTCATTTGGGTTAATCACAGAATTGTGCACACCAAGAAAGAAGCATAACATTATCAGAGGCAACCATTCAGTCAACTATATGAATTCAGCTGGGCTTATGTTCTACAAGCAAGTCCACATGAATCAAAACAATCAAGAAAGCCCTAAATAAACAGTCATTTTGTAAGCAGGCAAGAATGTGAGTCCCCACCAGTAAGCCGACTTAATGATTCCCCTTCTTACCCTCAAGACTATATCTGGATCTGGAAAGAAACAGGAAACATGGCTGTTTTCTCAAGTTGTCAAACCAACCTGTGGGCTGTTTGTTCGAGGAGGAGGCAATAGAATGAACTTCAGATCTCGCCCTGACTATATGGAGGTAACCATAAGAGTGGAAGGCCGGTTGATAGACAGGAGTCAACTTTTATTTAAAGCATTGACTTGTGTCTGAGCATTTCATTGTCACCTTGTAGCCTTCCTTCTTGGATCAAGGAACTGAATTCAACCTTTCTCAAGACCCCTGTCTCCTACTCCAGGCTGTGTGTTTATACTTGCTCCCCTCAGCTCCCTCACCAGTCTACCAGCCCTACCTAATGACTGTTCAAATAGAGGATAAAGAGGATTGAAAGGCTTCTATCACCAACTAGAATCTTCTCTGAGGAGGGTGAGCCATCAAACACCTAAGTCCAAACCTAAAAAATTAGGGAATAGACTTTCCTTTGCACCTTGACAGAGAGGAGAGTTCTTGCAAAGGCACAAACATGTTGGTAGCTGTCTTTCAAAGAACCTCTTTTCTATACACAGAGAAACACCCTTAGAAAAGACTCACATGCACCTATTTGATCCCCAATTTAACTGGAATCAGAAAATCCAATGCATATTTGGAATGATATACAGTACTTCTAACCATGATTTCAGTCATCTACAGTTAACTACAGCTCAGAAATGCTACATGGAAAGTTACAGAAAACACCCCATAAGTTTAAACCAAGTACTGCTCTGAGGAGTGTGTTGACATCACTTAACATTTCACACTATTTTGTCAAAGTAAATCACCTTGCTTTATAACCTAGAACAGGGTCCAGATGTTGGGCACCTTCTACAGAGGGGTAAGAAGTTGTGGAAAGTAGTCCTACATAACCCTGAACCTCTTCTCACTCACTGTAGTGTACATGATTTACTAGAGACCCTCATGGTAATGGGGATCATGAATTGCAGTTCTGTGTTTGTTTTCTGAAGTGTCATCTGTGGTGTGAGCCCAAGAAGCAAATGGAGAAAAGTACAATGGCAAACTTTTTAAAATATGTGCATGGAAGTTTTGCCTTCATGTATGTATATGGGAGGGTGTCAGATGTTGGAGTTACAGACAGTTGCTAGCTGACATTTGGGTGTTGGGAACTGAACCCTGGTCTTCTGGAAGAGTAATGAGTACCTTAACCACTGAGTCATCTCTCCAGCACCAGTGGCAAAGATTTTCAGATTTAGATCTGACTTAAAATTTTGGTTTTGCTGCCAAATTGTATGAATCTGAAGGGGTAGATGAACCTTTCTGAGTCCCAGTCTACTTATCTACAAACGAGAATAATAGGACTTATCTCACGTGATAATTGTAAGGGTCAAGTGTGATAACATGCTCAGAGCCTAGCTCGAGGAGACAGACATTTACTATGCAGCTGTTGCTATTATTCATATTAAGTTGTTCTTAACTTAATATGGCACGAAAATGGCAGAGGAATCTGTGTTCAGCAACAGAGTGAGCATCAGATACTAGCTATGACCAACATGGTTATCTAGCAGTTTTTCCCCATGCAGAAGTGAACCCTTTCCCCCAAACAATGGAAAAAAGAAGGACTTCATAATCAAAAATGTACCTGGCTGCTGCTTCCAGCTGTTCTTTCCTATAGAAGGGGGAGAAAAAGAAAAATATATAAATGACACGAAATGGTTGCCTCTTGCCCCACAGTCTGCCTCAGCATCACTCAGAAGGTAGAACAGGACAAATGAAATCAAGAAACATTTTGAAACAAGATGGTGGGTATGGAAGAGAACCAAAGTATGAGGCGGGTTTTGCCATGTGCCCCATGCTCCTACCACCACCATTTGGTACTGTGCTCCTCAGTTTGTCTTAGTTGCTCATTCATTGAGAAAACGGGTGAGTGACTACTCAACCCCAGGATTCATTGCTTGGCTCATAAGACTTCTTTTGTGGTAGAGACAGATCAGGAAATCAAGACTGCCAAAAGTAGTTGTTGTACTCCCACCCCTCCCTGCCATTGTGGTCAACAGCATTACCACTGTTCATGGTGACTGGACAGTAAATTGTTTCATGTCTCTTTTCTTACCAGATACTATTTTAAGTGTTATTTATGGATTTGTCAGTTAATCCTTATAATAACTCTAAGAGGTAAATACCATTATATCATTTTTCTGTTGAGAAGGTTGAGGGACAAAGAAGTTTAAGAAATTGCCTGTGGTCTCAGACATGAAGCAGCAGGGTTCAGATCCCAACCCAGGCAGAGTAACTCCAGAAAACGCTCTATACTGACAGGGCCAGCTGAATATGCTGGCCACATATTCCCCACTCTGAGCCTTTGCTCAGTTCTGCCTAGAATCCCCTACCCATTTTCTCCACTTGGAGCAGTTTTGCTCATCCAACAAGTCCACTGGGCTGGGCCTCAATTCAGACAGGGTGTTCTCACTATGGTGTTATTCACAGTGGTTTCCTGAGACTGTAATTTCAGAGATCAGTGTCTTTCTTTCTCTTTTGCTCGATTTGGATTCATAGATATCATCAGGGCAGACTTAATCATCATTGATTGAATCATAATATGCCATGAATCACGTACCAAGGCAGATACTGTCATACACCTTACTCAATTTCACTGTTACAACACCAGCCCCTTCAGAAATGGGGATTGTTTAGACAAATAAGTCTTGACCCAATCTGTGGGATGTAGGTGAGCATGTATCAGAGCATCATGTACTTCTCTCTAAAATAGCCATTTCTTCCCAGACACACAATGGAAGAACAAGAGCTTTGGGCAGAAAATCTTGGCTCCAATCTTTCTTCCAGCATGTACTTGCTGAATCATAGTAAGAATTAGTAGAGTGTTTTGTCTCTTCATTTACAAAAATGACCACAGGGATGGAGAAAGAGAGGATCATAGAAACCACAAAGACATGATTTCTTTCTGACATAACAAAATTTCTCTGGAGTTAGTGTGTTGAATGATGCCCAACTTTGAGACTATAGTCAGAATAATTATACTGTCCTATACTCTTTTAGGTAGTGAAATATATCTCAATAAAATTATTATTAAAGAAGGAGTAAATAAAAGGGAAAAACCTTTTGGGAGGTAGGTGAGGACACATTAGTGTACCTGCTTTTTTCTCTGTCATTAGCATATGGTGTGGGTTGGCATTCAGGGACATTCTTTTCCCAAAGGACTGTCTCATTTCAGAGTGGTTGCTAAGTGAGTTTCTCTAGTGACTTTGTACTTTGTCCTTGAAAAACAAAACAAGAAAGAAATGTTCCCTCTTAGTTTAAAAGCCATTCCCGTATCACAGCAGCTGTCTGCAGCACAATGTAGCCTTCAAGTGTCTGACAGCCAGGACAATGTTGTATTTATAATAAATCAACCAAAAAGAATAGGCCCATTGCCAAGGCCTTGGGATGCACAGCTAATGAAAACCATCGTGGCTCTACATTTGGTCTGGGTACACATGTTCTTGGATTTGAGTCCAAGGTCACCCTGTTTTTTGAAAGGGGGGGATACTGGCCCATTTTAGGAAGGCTCTGATTTATGATGTCCCAGCTCCTAATCAATAATAGCAGCAGCAGAGTTTTAGAAACACAATTAGCAACATCCGAGCAAGTAAGTTTAATTAAGTTAGAAGATGCAGTGAGTAACTCAGACTTACTCCTTTAATTATTCATCTATCGCTCTTATTTCTCCCACAAGTCATCAGTACCCTTTATCTTTCTCAGACCCTCTCTCTCTTCTCCCTTCTTAGCACTTTTTAACCTTGGCTCATGCCATCAGATTTTCCTGAGAAATGAACACCCCATGAATGTGAGGCAGGGAAGGTTTTCTGGGGCTGGACTTACAGTTCTCGAAGGTCACGGTCAGATTTCACATTTTTATGCTATTTATGATTATTGATTATAAAGGTTTTAAATAAAGCAATGGAGCACATAAATACAGATCTCTTCTATTTCCTTAAATCTTTTAAAATAGATAGGTAGATAAATTAGTGTGTGTGTGTGTGTGTGTGTGTGTGTGTGTGTGTGTGTACACCATGTATGTGGAAGTCAGTTCTTTCCTTCAACACGGGTATTACACTCAAGTCATCAGGCTTAGTAATAAATGCCTTTAGTCCTTGAGCCATCTTGTTGGCTAAACTTCCTTAAATCCTTAGTACAATATGGTGGTGAGAGTGGATGGATCAATAGAGGCCGTATTCATAAACCAGTCATAGATCTTATACTGAGTGTGTGAGAGTGTGTGAGAGAGTCATATAGGTGTTGGGAGAGGCACTTACCTACTGTTGGGTTGTTCACTGAAATGGCAGGTACTTGTTTATGGAACATACTTCAGTAAACATATCTCAGAGTAGAACCTACCCATGGATGAGCTAACTGTGCCTCTACCTTCTCTCCTAAGTCAGGGGTTCTAAAAGTCTTGCATCTGTCTATATCCAGAAGTCTAGACTAGACCATGGCATCAAAACACTGAAAAGGAAGAGCCTGTGATAGGGGAGTTCAGCCAATCACATTCTGGTTTGGGGGCGTGCCGCCCTCAGGCTAAAGCCTGCCTATAAACCTAGCAAGCATGCTCTGCTAGCTCTCTTTTCGCCTGGCTCCTGGCTCCTGCATCTGGACAGATCGTTTGGATTCTGATGTAAGCTGTTGCAAGTTTTACTTCTGTTTATTAAAGCTGTATATTTTGTATCAAGATAGTCTGGGGACTCTTCATTACCAATCGCCCTGCAGCTTCAAGCCTGCTTTAGAATCCAGGCAGCAAGAAAAGCATGAGATTCAGACGACTATCAAAATGTCCAGTAATTCTGAGCCCTAGGTCACTGATCGGTAAGTAGAAGCTACTATCATCAGCCATTCATCTTGCTACTCAGTGTTCACAATGAACCCTTATGATAGAATGAAACCATGGTTCCTGGTCAAGATGGTTTTGTCACTTTTTTTTTTTTATCATTGCTGAAGGTGTATGTTGGCTCTCTGTGTTCAGAACAATGCCTCCAACTCTAATGCATCTCTACATTTGTGAACACTGACTTTTCTCAGAGGACCTGTTAGGATAAAGTGAAACACAGACTTTGATATTTGGAATGCGGTAGATATCACTGCATGTTAGGCTCCTTCCTCTTCTCCTTATGCTAGCTATGGGAAGAGGCTATTCACCTCCATGGGCCTTTAGTTCAGTTTTTCAACTGTGAGACCATGAAATACCATTAGTAGGTTTCCAGAGGATCCTATGTCACCTTTGCCCTTCTTCCCTCTGTTGAAGTGGTCTGTAAGTGTATGCTATGCCCAGTGAAGGATTTATCACACTGTATGATAGCTGATTGTGCTGGCTTCAGTTTCCTCTGTCCCCTGACTCTGTTCACACAGCTATTTCCTAGTGCCATGTTGTCTACCTCCAGCTGCTCACTGGGGCATCTAGAAGGCTTTGAAAACTAGAGATGTCTGGTTTTACTTCTGAGGATTCAGACTTAATTAGGTCAAGTATGTCTGAATATCAAGGTTTTTGTTGTTTTGCTTGTTTGTTTCAAGATTTCCAATGATGTTAATATGTGGTTCATATTAGGGACCATTCTTCATCGCCTTGGAAGATACTCTCTAGCAAACCATGAGACCATGACACAAAGCACAGACTGTGGTAAAGAAGGTCAGCCATGCTCTGAGTACTCAGACAAGTGACTACTTGCCTGAAGAATGGGAAAGAGACAACTGATTCATAAAATCTCCAGGTTGCCACCAGATCAATCCTATTGGGGTTGGTAGCATAATATCTCCAGGCAGCCTGAGGAGGAGAGAAAAGAAAACAGAATGACATGGGTACCGCATGAAACATCCACACAGCATCCTATGCCATTCAAACAACTGTTAAGCTCTTGACTCCTAAGAGTTTGAATGTCTGTCTAGTGAGAATTCAGAGAAGCAGAGGTCTTGGCTTCTGATAGTTTCTTTGTAAAAACAAAAACTTGACCATCTTAGAACTACAATGGGTGCTGTGGTGAGCTGGGACACGGAGAGATGAACTGGGATAGAGAGAAGAGGGTAGAAAAATCCCTGAAAGGAATACTGACTATTCCTCCCAGAGAGCTCCTTGAGACTGATCAGTCAAATACATAAGAAAATAAAGTCTTTGTGCTATTTCTGAGTTTCATAGAGCTTGGGAGGTGGCTCTCATAGACTAACCTCCTGGGATGCTCTGATGGCCTGGGGATTGAGGGCATAAAGGAATAAGCAGACTTTGAATCCTGAAATTGGCTTAGAGAGCAGACCAGGCTGTGTCAGTTCCATAGACCCAGTTCTTAGTGACCTAGTACAACTGGATACAAGCTCTGGGTGAATGGCAATGCTCTCAGTACTCAGGAAGGCATGGGGGGGATGCACTAATTTCCTATTTACTAGGCCCCCTACTCCCAACAGCCCATACAATCAAGATACAAACTTCAAACTTCCCTTGATGTCTAATAGGGAGTAATTATTCCTGTTTTATTCCTCTATTATTCTTCCTCCAATCTGTGGTTGGAGGAGTAATGGTGGGAGATGGAACCACGTATCCAACATCTCCTGTGCAATGATTGTTGAGGGGTCAGAACAACCTGAGACATATTCAATAGTCTGTATGCTTTTGGTTTCTTCTCTCTCTCTCTCTCTCTCTCTCTCTCTCTCTCTCTCTCTCTCTCT